GTGTTGTTTTCAGATGGGATTGCTTCAGGATTTGGACAGGCAGCACTAGTCCCAGTAGGAAAGAGTTAAGGACACACAATTATATTCTGTTAAAATTTGGCATAATTCTTAAAATGCTCATAACTAAAGAAATTAAAGTGGAATCAGCTCAAACTTTCTACATACGTGTACATGTAACACAAGAACATCAATATGTACCAGAAAAGTTAACAAAAATTGGAGATAATTTCAGAGCCATTTTAAAAAAAGGCATGGGCTATATAGTACAGGTGCTAGATTTGCATGTACATGTATCCTGTGACATGTACATGTACATTGTGTAGATGTACTGTATAAAAGGATATTTGCAAGTTTGATTGAAAGCACAGTCATCTTCCAGGAAACAAGTAAAGTTGCTCTCCAGGGTCCTGAAAGAACAGTTCTGCAGACAGCAGCTGCCCTGTTGAGGACTTAATAGAAAATTAAAATAGAAATAATAATAATAATAATAAATTTGTTAAGTTTCTCAAAAATCAAGCCAAAGTCACTATACTATATTAGTAACGCGGTAGCGTTACTAAGTAGGATTCACCCCCAAACAAAATGGCTGCCACAACTTTTGCAGCCTTGCTATACCGGGAAATAGTACAGGATCATGGGCCAAATTTTGCCAAAAATTAATAGGAGAAAATTCTTCATTTTAATTACATTTTCTGATGGATATACACAGGGCTACCAATAGGGGGGGGGGGGAGGTGAGGCATTTTGCCCCGGGCCCCCAATCAATAGGGGGCCCCCAAGCACCTGGTCAGTAGTAAAGTATGCATAGTTTTTTCAAAAAAGATCAAAGAATCATGACAACTTTTTAAAGTTAACTCTTGCTGGGCCATTTTGTTAATCGCTGTTATTGGTAAGGGGGAGATTTGTATTAGTAGGGGCCCTATCAAAGTTTTTGCCCTGGGCCCCACGTAGCCTATTGGCAACCCTGGATATACATGTACTTATGTTGCATAGAAATTTTGAGCTCATTCTGATCAAAATTGGATATTTTATTAATTTATAAAGTTGCTCCAAATGTCATGTACTGTATTGCAGCTAGTGGTTATCAGCTCATAAAGCTGATGCTGAGAGATACAGTACAATGTCAATACTGACCTGCAATCCACTGAGGCTTCATTTCTCACTGCCAGCTGACATATGGAGCCATTGCAGCAGCTGTCATTGTAACATATTCCGGTAATTTGATTGAAATTGAGTCCACAGTCGCACATCCTCCCCCTCATCAAT